TGCTCTGTGTATGTTATTGTTTGGTATAATTCATATATGACAGTTGACTAGTCATAAGAGTATTTGGTCAAGGTCTAGAGTGTGTGAAGTTTGCTGCGTTCTTGGTTGAATATCTTTTAAATTTACCCCTCGTCACCTAAGTACCAATTTCAATTGGTATCAGAGCACCAGCTCTTAATATAAATAGAGAGATCCTTTGGGTGCTAATTGGTATTAGGTTTGCAAACATAAAAATGGACCAAATTGCTCATTGCATTCATGATGAGCTTGCCTTGTTTGTTCAGAAATATAGAAGGGTTGTCAAAGGTAAAACCAAAGTCACTAGGAATTGTCAAAATCTTCTTAGCTCGTCTACATGTGTGTCTCAAGACAATGTTTTTAAGGAGATGAATTTTTTGGACTCTTATGGCTTTAGGGAGGACAAAAGTTTGAAGGGTCTTGTAAAGTGCTATCTATGTGGTGGTGCTGGTCACACTGATGTGGAATGTGCAAATAACCACATGATAGAGTCTAATGGGAGAGATGAGTCAATTAGTGCACAATGGAGTGATAGTGATAGTGTTGATTCCAATAACTATATCACTTCATCTTTTGAAGAGACAAATAATTTTGCCCTTGTTGGTTCTGTTCATAACTCTAGCATTGCTAGAGTTCATGTAGTTAAGGAAGGAAAATCTGATTCAAAAAATGAATCTGTGTCTGGAGATGATAGGCAGGATGACCAGTCATACCTGGGTATGTGTGAAAAGTATGATGTCCTTTTTACTGAAACTTCCAAGCTTAAGGAAAGAAATTTCCTACTTGAAAGGAAGGTAAAGAACCTGGAAATTCTTAATTGCACTTTTAAAGAAGCAAATAATGAATTGAGTGAAAATATTGAGACCTTGAAGAGTGAAAAGGATTCATTGATTGTCATTAAAAATGACATTTCAAACCAATTGAATGTGCTCAAGGAAAACAACTTGGTTTTCCATGCCTCCAACAAGAATTTGTTGACTCAGATAAATGAGGCAAATGACATGGTGATCAAGCTTACCATAGGGGCTAAAAAGGTGGATAAAATGTTGAGTATGGGTAAGGTTCATGGAGACAAAACTGCTTTTGGTTATGGTTGTTCTAGTTCATATGCCCCTCCTCATTTGACCACATTTGTCAAGGAGTCAAATACAAAGTTTGATGTTTTAGAGCCAACTAGGACTCAAAGATTCATTCCTACTTGTTACCATTGTGGTGTGAAAGGTCATATTCGACCTAGGTGTAATGCTCTAAGGAATGTGTCTAGAGCAACCGATGCAAATGGCTTTAAGAACCATATTTCATCTCTTAAAACATGTGAGCTTGCAAAATCTGTTATTTGTACAAGAGATAAACATTTTTCACTTGCAAAATTTGGTTTTCAACAACCAAAAAGGTTCATTCCTATATGCCATCATTGTGGCACATTAGGACACATTAGACCAAAGTGTTTTGAGTTTAGGAATTTTGAGAAAAAGCCTTTTGTTCATTTCAAGAAAGTAAATGACAACTCACTTCAAACTCAAGTGAATGATCTTCTTTATAAAGCTGTCAAAATTCCTAAGGTGATCTCTATGCCTCATAAAGTCTCAAAAGTGAAGCAAGTTTGGATCAAGAAGGAAGACCATGTTCTTCCTCATGTTGGTGACTAGTTTCTTTATCTTATGTATCTAGACCATTCTCTTGTTTGTGGTTGCTTCATGGAGTCTAGATACCCTGTCATGCACATGCATCTTACTTCTTCTTTTTTATTTTTTATATATTTATTTCATTTTTGTTTTAGAAAGATGTGGTCATTGTGTGCATGTCTTTTAGTCATCTCCCTCACAATCCTTTGAATCTTGAGTCCAACTAAATTCCATGCTTTATGTAAGAACTTGGTGACATTTGACTAATTGACTTAAGACATTTTCTTGCACAAGAGATCTTAGTAATTGCCTTGCCTTGCAATTTGTGTCTATTGAGAAGCAACTAGCTGTTTTTTTTTTCTTCTTCTTCAACCGCTAGATACTTGAAGGTATTGATTTCCTTCTATTGGGTTGTGCAAAATGGATTAACTTGTATTTTCAATTTCATGTGCTCATAATATGAATTTCCATTTTGTTTGTGTTAATAAATTGCATGTAAGCTCTCTTCTCTCAAGATGCATGATTCTTATGAGTGGAAGTCTTTTCATGATGTTGTAGGTGTGAAAGAGTTATCCCCATTCTTGTCTACAATTTTGAGCATTTTTTGTTGAATATACTTGGGTTGCATGATATGCTTTGAGCTATCTATAAAGTGTCTAAGATCACTTGTAGTTGTCTCTCTACCTTGATCTTTTGATCCATTTGGAAATCAAAATGCAAATAAATTGTTGGAGTAAAAGCCTTGGAAAAGCAATGTCCACAAATATAGAAAAAGCATTTTCGGACAAGCAAGTGTGCTATACTTCATTTTTTATAAAAAGGTAAAAGCGCTTGGAAGAGCATTGTACATCATCAAATAGAAAAGCAAAATTGTACAAGCAAGTGTGCTATGCCTTTCTAAAATATTGATAAATGTCAACTTTTGGATCACATTTCTTGGTAGGGTTTATGCCTTGATTTCTAGAACTTATATTAGATTTGATGCTTGGAAAGTCTCATGCAACTCTTGGAAATCATTATTGAAGCTCATATTGAATTAGACCTCATTTTCCCAAACTCCTTACTCTAAGCTTCATGAGAAGTTCTAACTTATGTGTCTCATTGATTTTGGGAATTGAGTGCATATATTGCCTTGGCAATAGATTAACAATTTCCTATTTGTGTTTTTCCAAATAACCTAAGCACATGTTATGGAGATGCATGTTATTCTATTGCATGTCGTTTTTCTAATTCAAATTCTAGTTGCTTCCATCTCAATATGGCTTATTATGCTTGGATATCTCTTTGTATGCTATGTCTTGGGTCAATGTGTTTCATGCTAGCTTTCTGGAAATCATTTCTGCCTCGCATGACTAGTCATCCAATCTAGCATTCTTTGTGTCTCACTGATTCATTATTGGTTGCATTTTTGTTGTGTTATTTGTTGTGCTTAAAGGGGCTCTACACTTTATGTCATTCAAGCTCTTTTCTTTTGATGTGGTTTGGACTGTGTTGAGTCTTATTGTATGCATTTGTGAGCATACTTTGGAGTCATTGACTACTTGGTAGTCTCTCTTGTATCTATTTGGCTGTGATAGTCCATACTTTGCTTTAGTGAAGCTTCTTCATTGACATGTCATGGGTTTGGTCACACATTTGAGAAATCTGTGAGTTTGCTTGTTTAAGTAATGTTGGTGTTTGTCTTCTGAGCCCATATGACTAGTCATATATACTAGTCATTGGTCACTGGTATTGGTTTGGTCTTAAGGTATTTAGTCCTTCTTGGATTTGACCCATGTTACCATATGTGACCTGGTTGTCTCTCTTATGGGTTCCTTAAGTCACTTTTGAGTAGTCTTCTATTGATGTTGTTGCTTTATGTAACTCGAATGATGATTGTCTTGGCTGCAATCTCATGTTTGCATTTATAGGTCTATTGCACTTTGTGATTTTTCCATGAAAGGGAGCTTGTCATTTGCTTGTCCTTGGAACACTTTGTAATGTT